GGCCGTCAGGATCTCCATGTCGTAGATGGTCTCCACCTTGTCTATCCATTGTCTAAGTGTGGGAACTGATGGACCTTTCCAGTGCAGGGGAATAAGGGCCTTTGCTGCGTTTAATAGGTGTATTGTCAGGGACTTTTTATATGCCTGCGTTGGGGTGGGTGTATGATGTAGAAGCATTGGCAGTGGCTGTAGGGGGATGTCGTCCCCTGTGATCTCCTTGATCTTTGCCTTGATCATTTGCCAGTATGGTTTGATACTGGGGCATGACCACCAGATGTGTAGACTGGTGCCCCTTTCTAAGCCGCATCTCCAACAATCGCCTGTGTCCGTCCCCTGTATGTGTCTCAGTGAGTCTGGTGTTCTGTACCATCGTGTTAACAGTTTGTAGCTGGTTTCCTGGAATTTCGAGCTAATTGAGCATTTATGTGTGAGGAGGAATATTTTGTCCCATTCTTGGTCCGTCAGCTGTGTACCCGTCTCCTCCTCCCATCTGCTCGTGTAACCTAGTGGGCAACTATCCCCTGACTGCTGGAGCAGGGCATATAAGTATGATACCCCATGGGTTAAATGTCGTCTGTCTGTGCACAAGCGTTCAAATTCCGTAAGTGTACGGTGGAGTTGGGTTCTCCCCGTGATTTTGGCATAGTAGGACCTAACCTGGTGATAGTGGAATTTGTCGAGAATAGTAGGTTGCCCGTCTGACAATAAGTCCCCCAACGATTGAAGCGTTCCCCCCGGACTCCACTGGCGTACATAGAACCAATCTGTCCTTTGGAAATTGTGTAAAGCAGCCGGGTGAAGGCCACCCGCCACCCTCGGGTTGTGTGTAATAGGCGTAAGCGGGTTTGGGGAGGTGGTGAGTTGGTAGACATATCTTAGTCCGCACCACACCTTGAGAGTTGCGTCTATCACCGGGTTCTTTGTGTGCAGGTCGGTGTAGTTCCATGGATACCCATCTTTTGGCACTTGGCCGCGCATGCCAGTCTACTACCCTATGGAGGTGTGTGGCCCTATAGTACGAGATCACTGACGGTAGCCCCATCCCCCCGGCCGCTTTCGGTCTCTCTAGGATCGACCTACGGATGCGCGGCTGCCTGTTGTTCCACACAAACCTACGGATCGCTGTTGTTACCGAATTGAAGAACGTCTGGGGGATCCTGGTGGGTAGTGCCGCAAAGAGATATAACAGCCTGGGGAGAATGTTCATTTTGACCGCACTAATACGGCCAAACCAGGATACGTACCGCTGCGTCCACCGCTGAAGATCTTGTTGAATTGCGGAGAGGAGAGGGAGAAAATTTAGCTTGTATATCTGCGTCAGGTCCGCTGGCAGCCAAGTACCCAGGTACCTTAGTTTGGTTGTGCACCAGGAGAAGGCGAACTGGGAGCCCAGCTGACGGGCCCGCTCCTCTCCCTGCATTATCAGCATGGCTTCGGACTTTTCCACGTTGAGTTTTAGGTTGGATACCTGGTGATAGGTGTGGAACGCCTGTAAGAGGTTGGGCATGGAAATCCTGGGTTGTTCCAGGAAGAAGAGCATGTCGTCCGCATAGGCCGCCACTCTGTGCTCTTCAGACCCCACCTTCACCCCCGTTATGCCCCCGTCCTGTCTGACCGCCTCCAGAAATGGTTCAAGAGAGAGGGCAAACAGGAGAGGGGACAGGGGACAACCCTGCCGGGTCCCATTGCTAATCGGGAAGGGCTGCGTTAGGGCTCCGTTAATGCGGATCCGTGCCGTTGGAGAGGAGTATAACGCCGACACCCAAGCTCGTATAGTTGGACCAAACCCCATGTGTCGTAGGGTCTCGTCCAAATAGACCCAGTCCACCCTGTCAAACGCCTTTTCGGCGTCCGTAGAGAGGAGGACTGTGTCCCTTCCAGAGGTTCGTGCGCAATGTATGATGTTCAGGGCTCGTATCGTGTCATCCCTGGCCTCTCTGCCCGGAATAAAGCCCACCTGATCTGGGTGAATGAGATCCGGCAAGATCCGTGACACCCTCAAGGAGAGAGCTTTGGTGAATAGCTTCAGGTCCGCATTTAGCAATGAGATTGGTCTATAACTCGAGCAGTTTGATGGATCTTTCCCGTCTTTGGGGATAACCGTTACTATCGCTGCCAGGGAGTCCGTGGGGAACCGCCCCCCGTCCTGTAAGGAGTTCAGGCCTGCTAGAAGTCGGGGTAGTAGGGCGTCTCGGAAAGTTCTTAAATATGTGAGGGGGAGGCCGTCCGGCCCCGGGGCCCTGTGAGGTTTGGAGCGTTTCATGGCTGCGGCTAGTTCCTCTAAGGTTAGGGGCGCATCAATTTCCTCAGCGAGCTCCGGAGTGAGTTTGCGAGTCACATGTCGCGTTAGGTAGTCTGTGACTTTCCTACGGTGGTTTTGGGCTTCTGTCCCCTGAATTGGCCTAGCTTGGTTGTATAGGTCCCTATAGTAGGCCCTAAATGCTGACATAATGCCCTCTGGTAGTCTGGTGTGCTGTCTGTGTCCGGTACGTATCTGGTGAATATGTTGGGCTCTACGCTTCTCTCGGAGCACCTGTGCCAGGAGTCGGCCGCACTTATTCGAGTGCTCATAGAAGTGCCTAGCTGATTTCCGCATCGTGTGTAGTAATCCCTGGGATAAGTGTGCTTTGAGTGCCCTTCGTGTCTCTGTAAGTCGTAGGTATGTGTCGTCATCTAGGCTATGCTTATGTGTATTCTCTAGGTCTGCAATCCGTGCCGTGAGGTCCAATATTTGGCGAGCCCTGTCTTTCTTACGTTGCGTGCTGATAGATATAAAGTGACCTCTAATGACGCATTTGTGGGCTTCCCACAGCATCAGAGGGGGCATGTCGGGTGTGTCATTAGTGTCAAAGTATTGCGTAAGCATCTGTAGTGTCTTGGTGCGTATCTCGAGCTCTGTTAACATGGTTTCATTAAGCTTCCATTGGCGTTCGGTCGGTTTAAATAAAGGTGAGCTCATTACCACCGTGTTTGGGGCATGGTCGGACTGATTGATAATCCCTATGGAAGCGTCTCGGAGAAGCGCAAGGCTCTCCTGGGGCATGAAGATGTAGTCTATCCTACTATATTGCCTATATACTGACGAGTAATAGGAGAAATCTCTATCGTCCGGGTGGGCTACCCGCCAACAGTCGACCAACCCCATGCCAGTCAGTGCTCGTCGCATTGCGTGTAAGCCGTGCTCTGGGACAGTGCTGGTCCCTCTGGTGGTGTCCACCCGGGGGTCCAGAGGAACGTTAAGATCCCCTGCCAAAATCAGCAGGCCAGCCCTGAATTTTTCTAGTTTGGCCAGTGTTTTGGTAAAGAATTTATGCTGTCCGCGGTTAGGGCTATAAATGCTTGCAAAGGTGTAGGTGTGGTGTGCGATGGTGCCCTTCAAGAAGATGAACCTCCCCCCAGGGTCCGTCATGGTGTCTATGTGGTGGAACGGGACTATGCGGGAGAACAGAATCGCCACTCCCGTTTTCTTAGACTCTGGGTGATTGGCGTAGTACCCCTGTGGAAAGCGTCTATTTTCAATCTTCGGAGAGTCCTGACCCCTAAAGTGCGTCTCCTGCAAGAGCGCCACGGACACCTTTTCCGCCCATAACTGCCGCAATAGTTGGGACCGTTTCTCCGGGGTATTTAGGCCCCTCACGTTATTAGACCACACTTTGAGTTGTGCGGGGGCGAGACTCCCCCCGTCCCCTCGGGGTGGACGTCTCCCGCCCGGCTCTGTCTGGGAAGGCATTGTGTAGTTGATTATACGTGGGCGCGGGGAGAAAAGGGAGGGTGGGGGAGAGATGCAGAGAAAGAAAGGAATGGGAAGGTAGAAGAAGAGAGGGGGGAAAAGAGAAGAGAAAAAAAAAAAAACGGTTTGATAGCAACAATGAACCTCGGTCGGATAGAGTCGTTCGGCAGCTACTCGACTGTAGTCCTACCGAACTCCGACTAGTTTGTACACCACGGGTCCGTTGCGTGGGGTGTGAGCGAGGTCGCCTGCGGCGCAGAACAACCTAGTGTGTGTGTCTGGTCCGAGTCCGTCTCCCGGTGCTCCCAACCCGCCAGTCCAAGTGTCGAGTTGTTCCCGTCTCGTGGCCTATCCGTGTATGGTGAGTCGGTCTTCACGGGTTGCGCCCGTGTTTCCTTTCCTCCCTGAACCTAGCCCTCGTGATGTGTGTGCGGTCTCCGTCTAGTTTCAGTTGTCCACCGTCAGCGTTCTACCCCTTGTACCACAGGGAGAGCATATGGACCGTCCTACCCCCTCAACCCCCCCATTCATCCAGATTCTCCGTCCTACCCCCTCCCGCCCTGCCAGATTATCCGTCTCCCCCCCCTCCGAGGACACTCGAGCCTTCTGGCCCTTCTTAGACTTTAGTGGTGCCACTTGTAAGTAATGCTGATTGGTTCCTGTGCCCTGTTTCGGACTATGCACGAGTTCCTTCGTGCGCCCCCAGGTGCCCGGTCGTCCCCCCTCTCTACCCCTCTCGGCCCTGCAGGGGTCAGGACGTAGACCTTTTGGCCCTCGGGCCCGGGGGGGTGTGACGGGTGCGCTTCCAGCCCCCCCCCGGGCACCGCCATGGCTCCCTGGCCCCAATGAGAAACCCCTTAGGAGACCCACCTCCCCCCAGGCCCCCCCCACTCCAGGTCTTGACATGCTGTTAATAGATCCAATAGATCGGGTGCTCCTCCCGAACCCGCTCTGCCCCTACTGAGGCCGTGTGAAGTGGTGGTGGCCAATTCCCTTCTATGCTTCCACTTTGCTACCCCCACATTTCCCGTCCCCCACCCAAGTGCTGAGTTCCCGGGGGTACGGGTCTTATAGTACACATAGGGGAGTCCCAGGCCCGGGGAAAAGAACGGTACATACCCCGGATGCTCAGTTTCAAGTCCTCAGTTAATCCATGTGTGCCTACGGGCAGGTGTGCCCCTTACCCGCGGGGAAGGACGTGGGGGTCTCGGGGTTCCCGGTCCGCGCAAGAACCCCTCCAGGGGCGCGCTCTCGGGTGCTTACAGACTTCCTACTCCTCCGCGGTGCTGGGCCCGCTCCGGTGCGTCGAGGAGCTCCGCGGGGCACCATCCGTCAGGTGTTCAGCTGGAACTGTAGGGCCCGTGGGCCTGGTCGGCGGGTGATCAAGGATCCAGTTAGGGACGGGAATCTCAGGGAGGCCCGCTGCTCGTAGAAATCTAGGCACATCATTAGGCCAGCGGACTGCCAGCCAGCGATTCTCAATTCTTGCCTGCAGGCTGAACGGGAATCCCCATTTGTAAGGAATCCGCTTCTGCTGTAGGATGCCTGTGATGGGCTTCAGCGCTCGCCTGGCATCGAGGGTGAGGGGAGACAGGTCCTGGTATAGGGATACATGCGAGTCCATGTAGGTGATGGTGCGCAGTGCCCTGGCCGCTCTCATGATACTTTCTTTCAGTTGGAAGGATTGAAAACAGCACACCAAGTCCCTGGGGAGGCCATCTCTCCTTGGTGGTCGAAGCGCTCGGTGGGCACGCTCTAATCTGAAATCCAGTGGAGCTTCTTCCCCTAGTAGTTGTGTGAACAGGCCCTCCAGGACCTCTCTTGGGGTCTCTCCTTCCGACTCTGGCAGGCCTCTGACGCGGATATTATTGCGCCGTCCGCGGTTCTCAAGGTCCTCCACCTGGCGTCGGAGTTCCAGGAGGAGGTTGCCCTGCCTCGTGGTAGCCAGATCTGTGGCCCGTTGGGATTGTTCTGACTGCAGCTGTTGGACCTCTAGGTCTCCCACCCGGTGTTCAAGGGCGGAGAGGTCGCGCCGAACCGCAGCCACCTCCTCCCGGATAGCCGCGCGGAGTTCTGCCACCAGCTCTTTCTTGTCTTGCCTGGAAAACATGTTTGCCGAGATTGCCGCGAGTTCAGCTGACATCTGAGTGAGGGCGTCTCTCCGCGGGGAGTCCTGCGTGGAGCTCGATCTGCTCAGTGTTCCCGGCGATCCGGGCGCCATTTTGTCTGGGCCTCGTGTGCCGGCCATACATTGTGGGGTGGACAGGTACTCGTCCATCGGTCCCGATTGCTGCGACATGGCGGTAAGTTGCGGGCCCGGGGCAGTCCCCTTCCTCGGTTTACCCATTCGGACGGGAGTGGTAACGCTTTTAACATGGGCTATGGCAGGGTTGGGGCCCGGGAGCTCTCACTGCCTGCGTCCTACTCCATCGGCAGCCCAGCCACGCCCCCTCCATGCTGTTTGTTTTATACTTAAATGTAAGTCATTAAAATACTTTTTTATTATACTCTGGAAGTGCACTACATTTCTGTATAATTTTTTTCTTTTGAGACATATACACCCATTCGCTGATGAATATGTGAGGAGGGACAACATATTGGATACTGAAAGATACCATTCAAGGCTGTTTTAACTCCATAAATTTGTGAGTGACCAATTGTGATTGCATATCAGTACCAGTCCCCACACAGTTGTACGCTATGTTTGTTTATTTTTGTATTTAGCAGATTGTCCCCTATTCTATTTGTATATGGCCTATGTACTGACCTGACCACACTGGAGAGCAGAGTGGATGAGATGGAGACCGCGGCCCAAAACTGCTCCCAGCAACACAATGCCACAGAAATGGTTGCCACCAGACAGGGCAATTTGCTGCTTACCCTCCAGAGACAGGTGAAGGACTTGGAGAACCGGAGCAACAACATGCGCATCTGCAGCCTACCTGAATCAGACGCACACCCACTAACCAGCACTCTGGAAGCTTTGTTCCAGCACATACTGGGAGAAGAAGCACCTACCGCTATCCGATTTCAAAGGGCACATAGAGCTCCAGGCCCTGCGAGACAGGATGGCAGCCCAAGGAATGTGGTATGCTGCCTGCATGTTGGCGGCCTAAAAGAAAAGATCATGGCGGCCACAAGAGGAGAACCAACCATCAGGTTCCGCGAGGCTATATTCCATCTCCCTATATCAAGACCTCTCCACACTAACACTGGATGCCAGAAAAGCCCTGCGCCCAGTCACGAGCGCCCTACGCAACAAGATAATTCCATACCGCTGGGGATTCCCCTTCAGCCTCCAGGCTAAATAGGGAAACGCATGGGTGTCTGCCCACTGGCCAGAGGAAATTCCTGAGAGCCCTGCACTTGCCGGTAATCAGGGTCAGAAATTGGATACTTGAAGAGGCTATAGCGGCAAGGAGAGGCCCCCTGGCATCTTTGCACCCTGACGGCGCACCGCCAGGGAGAAATGCCCAACAATGCCGCTGGGGAGGCCCGAATGGCTGGAAGAATAGGCTGTCAGAGGAGCTGTCTGAGTGGCGGGAGTACAGTGAGTTGCTTTCAGTGTGGGGAAGGGATCCTGCTGTGATCTTGCTGACATGAGGGTGGGACGAGGACATGAGGATGTACACCATGTTCTCTGGAGAAGCCTAGATCCTAGTGGTGCTGTATCTCATAGCAGGGCAGCCAAAGTCTCCCTGGAGCACACCATTTGGGTGGGGTAAGGGGGCAATGAGACACTGCAGCGAGACTCTTGGGGACTATGGATTGGAGGGCCTCCAGACCGAGGATGGGAGACAGGCCCATGGGGTACAGACTGGACGGGGGGACCTGGAAGACCACCACCATAACCTGACCGTTCAGACCCATAGATAGGACCACGAAACACGTGAGACGACTCTCCACCCGCCGCTCGGACCCACAGATATGCATCACAAAAATGTACGTAAGCCTTAGAGCTCCTATGACCATTGAACCCTAGTGCTACACTCCAAGTTACTACAAGTCCCTGACTCAGGGTACAACTTACCTCTACCTTGCCCTCTGCCTTGCTGGACCCCCCTCTTCGGGGCCTCCTGAGTCCTGCTCCCTGATCCGTTTTCCTTGCTGCCTCTAACCCCCTGCCCGTCGTCCCGTCTAGCTGTCTGGTCTCTCTATTTGCCTCCTCCCCTCCATTGACCTTGCTCCTGCCCTGGGCTCCTCTCCTCTCCCCACTGGCCCGGGGTGGTTCCGGCCTTGCTGTCCCGCCATGGTGCCGGGATTTGCGCCCGCATCGCTCCATCTTTGGTCGCACAATCTGTGTGGCTTGAATGCCCTAGAACGGAGGTCTCACCTCCTACGCTCCTTATGGGCAACCAGGGTCTCCATCACTTTTCTACAAGAAACGCATTTCAGGGGGATGCTGGACCGGCACTCCAAGACTCCAGGTACCCGGTGGGGTACTTTGCGAATCATAAATTGGCCCAAAAAGCTGTGGTCGCAATCTTATTTGTGAATACAGTCCCGTTTGTGTGCACGGAGATCATTAAGGACCCCAAGGGCTCGATCGCGGACACAAAATACACTTTTCGCAAGCATTTACGACCTCAATAAACAACAAAACCGATTCACGAGGAGAACTCGACATAAACTCAAGCAGTTCCGAGAAGGCCTACTCCTGGAGATTTGAATGTCGCCTTGGAACCATAATTGGACACGTCCAGAGGTGTTAGTTCACTGCCTCCCCACAGCTTGAGAGATATCAAGGAAGCATTACGGGGATCGGGCCTGATGGACAGTTGGAGGGTGCTCCACCCAACTGATCAAGATTATTCTTATTTCTCCACGGTCCACAAGTGGTACAGTAGATTGGATTATATCCTCCTTGCCCAAGAATTCCTGCCCCTGCTTGTATCGCCAGACATTAAGATGATGGGCTGGTCAGGCCACGCTCCCATTTCGACCCGCATCAAATCCCACCTATTTCGACCTAGGAAATGCCACTGGAGGATGAATGAATCCATCCTGTCGGAAATGCCTATTGTTGCGGAACTCCGCATGGTTCTCACCACCTTTTTCGAAGAAAACGATGCCCCAGAAACCCCACCTCTAAAGATCTGGGAAGTGCATAAATGCATCATCCTTCCAACAGCTACAGTCCTACTTCCAGTTTCTGAAATCCACAATCTTGTTATCTCCACTCAGTTAACTATAGTCATGCTTTGTTGATCCAAGTAGAAATGGCTACAATTGTTTTATTTGCCTTCTTCTGGATTAACAGGACAAATGAAGGAGCTTCACAGTTGAGATTAATGGACTTTAAACAATGTAAACTATCAGGGCCAGAATGACCCACCGTGATAGCAGAAAATCTCCCAGTGGGCCATGGCACTTGGCTTGAGGCCAGCAGTGCTGCACATTACATATAGCATCTATTATTTATTAACCTCCCCTGACTTTGCGTTGGGGGCTGGTGCGGACAGTTAACTAGGCAGCCACATTGAGGCTGACAGCCGCTGAACATCAGCATAGTTGGCAGCCAACTAGCAGCAGAAAGGAGTGATAGAGCACTGAAAGTCACTGGAGCTTCGCCACGCAACCTGTGTCAGTGAGCTTGTCTGTTGTGTGAGCTTGTGTGTATTTGTGTCAGTGAGATTGTCTGAAGTGAGCTTGTGCGTTATTGAGCTTGTTTGTGTCACTGAGCTTGTCTATAGTGAGCTTGTGTGGCAGTAAGCTTGTCCTAAGTATGCATGCAAGACTGCAGTCATTGACTAAGAGCGTCAGCTGAGTGATTTCAGCCAATGAGCGTGGCCCTATATCAGGCTGTAGCTCAGAGGAAATATCTGTTTTTTACTGCAGGATAAGATGGATATGGCACAGGTGCCAGTTGGTAAAATGTACAGAAACGGTTTAACTGCTTACTCTGGGAGGGTGCCATGGCACTCTAGGCACGGTGCCCACTACAGATAGCTGTAGCGGTTATGGTGCAAAGTTGGCAGCCGGCTAGCAACAGGGAGGAGTGAGAGAGCACTGAAAGTCCAACTCTGCATGGCCAGCCTGGTAGGAGTCAACCCCCACACTCGAGCTTCGCCACTCAACCTGTGTGAGTGAGCTTGTCTGTAGTGAGCTTATGTGTTAGTGAGCTAGTGTGTCAGTGAGCTTGTCTGTAGTGAGTTTGAGTGTGTTTGTTTCAGTGAGCTTGTGTGTATAAGTGAGATTGTCTATAGCGTGGCACTCTAGACACAGTACCCACTACAGAAAGCTGTAGCGGTTATGGTGCTTGGAGTGCTCCTTAACCAAAAATTGATGCCCCAGACAAATTTAGGAGTTACATATATGCATACATGTAAAATAGTTTGAAAAAAGACTCAAGTCCATCAAGTTCAGCTGTTCACACTCTCACTCTCTCACATATCAGCTTACCTATTTAATCTGTTTTTAAATATTTGGATTTGTATCTTATTTGCTTTTCTTAACTCACATATTTGCTGTCACCTTTTTCTCTTGCCTTAAAAATATGTTCCTTCTGTTTTCTTATTTGTTCAGAGTGAACCCTCCCTCATTTTTCATGAACCACTTAAGTAGTGCAAACATTACATTTAAAATAAAAAAAGTGACTCAGATGGCTGTATTCAGAGAGTTTGTCTCATAAACTTAAACTGTCAATGTTTTTTTTATTCAATAGGTTTTTACTTTTCATGGTTTAAATATGAAATTATTATTCATTTACACAAAACCACTTAAAGGTTAAAGGTACAAAATAATATTCATTGTGACACAAAAATTAAACAAAAAGAAAAACATTTATTTAAGCATAAGTAGTCACCCCTCTGAGTCAACACGTGTAGAACCATCTGCAATTACAACTGTGCGTCTTTTGAAGTGAGTCTCTATCAACTTTACATATTTGAATTCTACAATATTTGACCATTCTTCTTTGCAAAATTGTTCAGTCTCCATCAGATTGGTACCACCGATGAACAGAAATGTTCAAGTCTGCACAAGCACAAGCACCTCCCAGGCATCCCTGTGTCTGGGAAATAATTGAGTCAGAACGTAGTAACTCAATTATCTCTCAATTACAGGAAATTACAGGAAACATACATGAAACACCCCAAAAACATATTCATAATTCACAGGAACCCCACAAGTTTTATATCCCAGAATAGCTCGGATCTGACCACCCAAGTTGTCCAAATAGCGCTCAGATCCATTCAGTAGAATGGAATTGCCATTTGGGTAAAGTTCTGACTTTCGGGGGTTCCTGTGTGAACACCGACGAATGCTCCCTCTGGCTTTCAGGGAGCAGATGCTCCCCCCTAGTCGGTAGTTCCTATCTACTGAACGTCGTTTGTCTAGCTGGTCAGGAAGTGGTTCGAGCAGCGGTACAATCTTTGCCTGGGTTCGGGAGACAAAATGGCCGCCATTCACTGGAGCACGTGTGTTTGCTTATATGAATGGCAGCCACCCAGGGAAAGCACTCAAGTTAATTACTTGATTGCGGTTAACAGCCAAGGGTGGTCGTGTTTGGGGAGGTATAAAAGGTGGACCACACATTATTCATTCGGGAAACGAACAAGAGGTGTACGGACAACCAAATGGAAAGGGAATGAGTCTGCTACAAAAATATCCTGCAGACTTTGTGCAATTCCATCACTTATAACCATATAACTTAGTCAATCACATTTTCATTCATTAGTAGATACATCTACAATTATGTGAATAAGTATGTTATATATTTATCTGTCTGCCTATTTGTCTATCTGACCATGTAGGCTGTCTGTTCCTAAGCACTGAGTGGATTATGTAAATATGAGTTTGACTTTTCTCTTTTAATCCTGCTCTGTTGTTGAATATACAATATGGTGTGATATTTTTGAGAGTTTTTATGTTTATTTATTATTTTGTTACCGCAGACATGTCTTTTTTTTTTAAATGTTTCAAAACAAACTCTCTGAGGGACACTCTAAGCAACATAACTACTACAGCCTAACTGTTTCGAACAGTCTCTAGATGCTGCCCCCCCCAGTTCCTTGTCAAATCGTCAAATTGTACAAGAGCAGTTTGACAGAGACTGAGGTTCTCTCCAGCACTGTCCACTACTCAGCCTCTGATAATGTGAAATGTACCTGGATGGCAGTGTTAGAATTTCAATTTTGAGTGCAGGTTGTTTCAGTCAATTGCTACTATCCAGGTTTAAACAAAATTGACACTGGCAATGCAGAACTGTAAATTCTAATTCTGCATTATCAATGCGTCTGAGGAGGTTGTCCTAAACAGTTTAACAAAGAATTGGGTGAAAACATTCAGAGCTCCATTTATTGTCTAAGAGCTCCAAAACAGAAGCAGGGTACAACTGCAGAGTAACCTGCCATACTGACACTTGTATGTACCAGAATGATACCCCCCATTACTGGAGAACATGTCACACCACACACCACGCACACCAGCCAGCCATTCCCTCTACCAATCTGCCAAACTTTGCAGGTTTCAAATTGTATTATATTTGGCACACAATGCATAGCACATTTGTGCAACAATAATGTAAATAACACTTCCATAAAAATAATTTCTTGACAGGGAACAAAGGTCAGAATTGAATACGTTGTTATGTGATACTTGATGGAGGCTCAAACAGCCTAGTTAATATCCCAAAGTCAATACATCTGTTCTGCCCTTTTTTCTATCAGCTAATACTATCCTAGCATTGCCACCGTTATATTGCAGTATATCAGCTTTTAAAAAAGTACTTGAAATACCCAATCATTGGTTTTTTTTTTTTGCTTAATAGAATGTTTTCATGTGTACTTACTATATTATGACTTAAATATTAACGTTAACATTAACAAAATAAAGTTTAAATACATTTTAACTAAAAATACAAATGTTTTTCATTACTAAGTTTAGTGATTATGGTATCAGGATTGCATCATCCCATGGAAAGATGTCAAACCGTTTTAGCACTGTCCATGGTAAGATGGCCATTCTAGCATGGTTTAACAACTTACTTTGGTCCTAAAGGGCACTTGCTCAGTATCTGCTGCATCCTGTCGTCTCTTGAAATAGAAGCCAGATATCGCTGTACATTGAAGCATGGATGATGCATGACTGCATGATCATTGTTTGCTCAATAGAGCAACTCAGCTTCTCCTGCATATGAAATATATGGGGCACAGGTGCCTGACAAGACCCAGGCAAGTTGTCTAAACATACTAAAATGGTTTGACAACTTACCATGGCACAGAGCCAAGGAACTACAGGCACCGTAAGATTGCTGTGGTTATGGTGTTTGGATTATTCATTTAAGAAAAATAAGACCTTATATGGAAAACTACATTCATTATGCACAATGTATAGGTCCAATTAATGTTGAACTGACCTTTTTAGTGACATACTGAGCTACATCATTCTCTTCTAATTTATGAAAGAAGGACAGAAATTCTAAATGTAATAATAATGTAAGATAGATAACTATATTCACACCCTTGTTAGTATGTACTACATATGAATAGCTATTATAAAGCTAATACAACGGAGCAATATGTACTATGCAGTGCTGTTAAAGCCAAAAGCCTATGCAGCTAGCCAATGAACGGCACACTGTGTAAAAAAATAACTGCACAGAATTAACATTAGCCGACCCAAAGCTTTTGTTCTGGGCTGGCTGATGACATCCCATGAAGATTCTGGAGGTGGAGATACACTTCCAGCAGCTAAGGGGTTAAACTCTGAGCGTGCATAGCTTCACAGCAAAGCACTGCACATACAGACTCCAGGCACCATGACTACTTCAAATCACTGCAGTGGTCATGGTGCTTGGAGTAAACCTTTGAAGCCATAACTACAAATATTCCAGAAAGTTTTTTTTTGTTTTTTTTTAACTGTATTTTATTTTGGAATTCTTCCTAGGTAAATAAAACCTGAAAACAATAATTTCCAAATCAGGATTTATCCAAAAGAAAAAAAAAATCAATAAAATAGAACTTTATGAAATACAGTTTAGTGGACAAAATAATGTAAAAATAATGGCAGTTTGTGGATACCAGTACAAAAGGTAATACATAGTATCTGGAACATGTCACTGTGCTGGAAATGAAAATAATGAATGAAAGTTTAGAGTTTGGCTGGAGAATCACAGGTAAGTTTACATTAATCTTGTTCCTGTTTTACCTGCATTCTGGCATTTACGCCCTTGGCCTTGTAGAGATAGGGACTGTCACTTTGCCGGTTATACCAAAGTTCTACAAGGGCTTTTAGCTCATCTGCTTTCTCTGTCTGCAGAGGCAGCTTGTTCCAACCTCCCAGAACCTGAGTCTCCGTTGGTATTATCACTTCCTCCACCGCCATGGATACAGCAGGACTCAGGAAAAGCAGCAAGCACCAGAGTTTAGACCGAATCATTTTGCTCTTCTGTTTCTGCTCCTAAAATGAAACCAGTTGTTTTGGCTTTTATAATAAATGTATGTGTAGCCACACCTCTTAACTCTGCGAAAACCACTTGGCACTCTTATATGTGGGAATTCAAGAACGTGATATTACTCAGAGCAAATATTACATGAGAGAGGTGAATAGTCAATGGATTATATTACTTGCTGATCTTTTATTGACATTTGATATATTTGTTGGTTTCAGATCAATTTATCTTTTTCAATTTTTTTTATTTATTTTTAAAAATTTTAGTTTATATATGTACATTTACATGTGCATTTCTTAGTTTGTTATTTTCGATACCTTGCTAGCTTTTTTTATTTTTATTTTTTATTTATATGCTGTGTAGACTCATGAATAGGTTTATTTAACCATCCAGACAAATATCACCAAAAACATTCACCTATACCTATAGTTCTCGTTTATTGTCCATAGAATTCACACTCCTCATAGTACGGAATCTCTCTGTATAAATGGCAATAATAATAATAATAGCAGCATTGACTCACTATCAGTTACACACTTATCATAGCATTCAGACATTACATAAAGTATTCCCAAATATCATTCACAGCCTGATACCACTATTCACAAACTAGTCAAAAGAAAAACTTAAGAGCCAGTTTCTTTTTTGTGACTTTGTGACATTTGATTAAAAAAAACCAACAATATCATGTCTATGTAGTCAACATTGTTGTAGGCAAGTGTATGCATATGAATGTGTGTAGTTAAATTACATTGCATATGATTTTTTTTTAAATCTGGCTCCTCTAATCCAGTGAGCCCATCTGCAGGCTGTTGTTTGTCAGAATATTTGTGCGAAAATATATATGAAAACATATTTTAAATCGGATAGTGTAATCTACTTTTTGATCAGAACGTTAAATCTTATAGCACTCTTCTTTTGTTTAGTTTTCCCAAAAGTTCACAGGCTCAAAGTTGCACCTAAGCACACAACAGTATAAGTGAAACAATAGAGAGGATCTGCTATCTAGTCCTAAAAATTAGACGTTCAGCTCGACTATTTACTTACTAAACACTGTACAATTGCCATTCAAATGGACTGGAACATCCCAAAGATATCCATTGGATTTTATGAGATTAAACACACAACACTATGTACTCTCTGTGGACACAGGGATTTTAAACAAAGACACCTTGATTAATTTGGGATGAGACCTGGAACTTATCAACTCTTGAGAAATAAACTCTTGTCAAATTATAACATTTGCAAAATGATAAGTGTAAAAAAATGTAGAATGATCTTAATTTATAAGAACAAAAGTAAAGGACTGGAAGCGTAGGGAATACACTCGTATAGGGGTAAGCCCTTAGAAAACTACAAAGGTAGTAGAAGGAAAAAAGGAAAAATGAGTGCCCTAGAGCAATTAAAATATAACCTTTAATAGTATAGTTAAAAGACAGTAAGTAGGTACCCACAAATAAATTATGTTAAAAATAATAATATATACAAGGCTATGAAATAAATGTGAACACTATATACACAAAAGAAAGCCTAATATGTGGATCCACCTAATAGGTAAAAGTACTGTGTAACAAACAGATACCTATAAATCTGACAATAGTGTAAAGCTATTTGTAACAAGTATCAATATAGGGAAACTGTAGCAACTTCCACTAGATCTATAGCTGGAAATAGGTCTGCTAGATAGTTAAGCCTCAGAGTTGATAGGATAAATCTCAACCTAATAATTGTAAGTGAAGAGGTTCTGTTCAAAAGTTTTCAGTGTCCTCCACTTGATACTATATGCAAAAAAAGCAATTTTGCAATGATACTATACAAGCATTTATATGTATATACGTATAGTGTGGATTAATGCCTTAGTTTTAGTTGCATGTAAACAGCTATACACCAGTGGTCAGTATAACATCTTTTGTGCTAAGTTGTAATAAAATAAGCACTACACGATGTATATAAATTGTGCAGAAAGAGGTATAGCTGCACAATCAATTGTACACATATAAAGTGCTTCCTAATGATAGAAGAGGCACTGAAATTTATACAGGTAATGCAGACAAAATATATGTAAGTGCACAAAAACGAAAAAAAGCCTCAGTATATATAACGGCATAAAATAGTGTGCCAATATTCAAGGTGCTGGGGATAATGTCACAGCCCCATACTTCGGCTAATAAATAGATAGATCCTTGCTACTAATACTAGGAGGCAATCATAAAAAGATCTAAATGTAGATGGTCAAAATGCGGGTAAAGTCACCATGCAATGATATTGTCTCGTGGCTAACCCCCACAACAGGAGGAAATAAGCCGAAAAACTACCGCCCTCCCAGATAATAGCAGGACTATTCCTCATGATCCAAATATAATGAGCTGTGGGCGAAACGCGGGCGTCAGGGGCCCTCAGTGATCCTCAGTCACAGTACCTTTTGTGTTAAGACCAGTTTCTATTATATTATTACTCTTTGGATCACGAAGAATAGTCCTGCTATTATCTGGGAGGGCGGTAATTTTTCAGCTTAGTTCCCCCTGTTGTGGGGGTTAGCCACGAGACAATATCATTGCATTCACGCTATTGTTCGCCGGCGGACAGTTCGCGACATCTCTAATTATTATTATTATTATTATTATCAGCAGCAAGAGTAGCTTAGGAGCCAAATACAGAATGTTAACCCCTTAACATTATATATATATATATCTCAAAATAATATTAGGGGTGCAGTCTCAGTTCTTGTGAAAGAAGATAATGATTTTAATAGTAAAAAATTTACATCTGTAATACGATCTTATTACAGATGTAACTTTTTTGCTATTAAAATCACTATCTACACTGAACAAAATTATAAACGCAACACTTTTGTTTTTGCCCCCATTTTTCAGAAGCAGAACTCAAAGATCTAAAACTTTTTCTATGTACACAAAAGGCCTATTTCTCTCAAATATTGTTCACAAATCTGTCTAAATCTGTGTTAGTGAGCACTTCTCCTTTGCCGAGATAATCTATCCACCTCACAGGTGTGGCATATCAAGATGCTGATTAGACAGCATGATTATTGCACATGTGTGCCTTAGGCTGGCCACACCTACGCCTCTATTCACCTGGCCACAATAATAGGCCACTCTAAAATGTGCAGTTTTATCACACAGCACAATACCACAGATGTCGCAAGTTTTGAGAGAGCGTGCAATTGGCATGCTGACTGCAGGAATATCCACCAGAGCTGTTGCCAGTGAATTGAATGTTAATTTCTCTACCATAAGTCGTCTCCAAAGGTGTTTCAGAGAATTTAGCAGTACATTCAACCAGCCTTACAACCTCAGACCACATGTAAACACACCAGCCGAGGACCTCCACATCCAGCATCTTCTCCTCCAAGATCGTCTGAGACCAGCCACCCGGACAGCTGCTGCAACAATCTGTTTGCATAACCAAAGAATTTCTGCACAAACTGTCATAAACCGTCTCAGGGAAGCTCATTAGCATGGTCGTCATCGGGGGCTCGACCTGACTGCAGTTCATCGTCGTAGCCGACTCGAGTGGGCAAATGCTCACATTCGATGGCATCTGGCACTTTGTAGAGGTGTTGTCTTCATGGATGAATCCCGGTTTTCACTGTACAGGGCAGATGGCAGACAGCGTGTATGGAGTCGTGTGGGTGAGTAGTTTGCTGATATCAACATTGTGGATCGAGTGGCCCATGGTGGCGGTGGGGTTATGGTATGGGCAGGCGTATGTTATGGACAATGAACAGAGGTGCATTTTATTGATGGAATTTTGAATGCACAGAGATACCGTGATGAGATCCTGAGGCCCATTGTTGTGCACTTCATCCACGACCATCACCTCATGTTGCTGCATGATAATGCACGGCCCCGTGTTGCAAGGATAAGTACACAATTCCTGGAAGCTGAAAACATCCCAGTTCTTGCATGGCCAGCATACTCACCGGACATGTCACCCATTGAGCATGTTTGGGATGCTCTGGATCGGCGTATACGATAGCATGTTCCAGGTCCTGCCAATATCCAGCAACTTTGCACAGCCATTGAACAAGAATGGACCAACATTCCACAGGCCACAATAAACAACCTGATCAACTCTATGCGAAGGAGATGTGTTGCCCTGCGTGAGGCAAATGGTAGTCACACCAGATACTGACTGGTTTTCAGACCCTCCCAGACCCCCCAATACAGTAAAACTGCACAGTTTAGAGAGGCCTTTCATTGTGGTCAGCCTAAGGCACACCTGTGTAATAATCATGCTGTCTAATCAGCATCTTGATATGCCACACCTGTGAGGTGGATGGATTATCTCGGCAAAGGAGAAGTGCTCACTAACACAGATTTAAACAGATTTGTGAACAATATTTGAGAGAAATAGGTCTTTTGTGTACATAGAAAAGTCTTAGATCTTTGAGTTCAGCTCATGAAAAATGGGGGACAAAAACAAAAGTGTTGCGTTTATTATTTTGTTCAGTGTACTTTCACAAGACCTGAGAGTGCACCCCTGATATTATTTTGATATATATGTACAACACGGGTAGCACCAAGCTGAATTTATATTAATATATATATATATAAAACATAAGTTAATGTGAATAAAATCTAAAAACAATTGTGAGAAATTAAGACATTTTGTTATTTTCTTAGTTCTGCATGGCATTTTAACTGTGAATGTCATAATTCTGTTAACTTTTACTGCAATAAAATACACATTGTTGTATTCAGCGATGTCGCATGAGTACCACAGTACTCCTCATGTACAAGTTTTATGGGTTTTTGGAAAGTTACAAGGTTAAATATTTGGCTTTTCCCTCCTCAGTTTGTACTAATTGAAACTTGCCAGATTGGTTTGCTGGGCCTCTGTTGCATTTGAAACTATATGCCAGCCCAGGAATGAAAATTAACCCCTTCGTGGCACACAATTTGCAAAAGTAGACAACCTAGAGTATTCAAAATGGGGTATGTCCAGACTTTTTTGGTAGCCGCTTAGTCACAAACCCTGGCCAAAGTTAGCATTCATATTTGTTTTTTGCATTG